GGAGGGCCGGGCACGGCGGAGGAGGGCCGGGCACGGCGGAGGCGCCGCCGGAAGGGCTGGAGGCTGGGAGGGCGCCGGGGGAAGCAGCGTCTTCGCTCGCCGCGTCAGTCTGCCCGCGACGTCTGCCGCTGGCCGCCCCCGGAGGCAGGTTCTCGAGTGATGGCGCCCCTTGGCCTGAGTCTGTGGCCGTTGCTGCCCATGACGCGTCCTTGTCCGGGCACGAACGCCAGCGTGTGTGTTACAGCACGAGGGCAGCACAGAAGTTCCCTTTCTTCCTTTTATCTTCGGTTGTCCTGCACGTTCCTAATGCCTGGTCCCTCCTTCGGTATTACTCACGCTCTCCTCCCCTTTATGCCGCTTAGTCCACTTTTTTCTCTTTCCCTAACATTGTTATTTAAGTGGTTATTTAACATTTCACTATTTCACTGGCTAGCGGCCCCAGGTTCTCTCACCCTCTTTGCTTAGAAGCACCCCGTAGTGCTGGTGTTTTCACTTTGATGTTGCTCAAAAAAAGAGAGAGGCAGGGGATGCCATAAGGTTACATTCAGTAAGCTAACTTCGGTACCAGCTATGTTATCAAAAGTGTTTTCCCTCTTCGTCTGCAGGGAGGGATGCAAGCAGGAGTACCAGTTTCCTAACGTAACACTAGTTTTAAGTATAAGGTTGCAGTGCGCTGGGGCGGGGAGGCTTGTGCTTGCTGTCTTCAGGTGCCTAAGGAACAGATGCTGAGCTAAATGTGATTCGGTTCTGAAGAAGACTCAAATGATGACCCGTGGGGATATTTCCTTGTAGGCTAGGCTCTGCAGAATTAGGACTAAAGTCTGCACGGCACCATCTTTTGGGAGATGTCTACGAAGTGAGCTCTGGACAAGGTGCTGGAAAAAGGAAGATGCTCGCCCACCCCGGTTTTTTGGTACGTGGGAGCGTTTGCAGTCACAAAACCAGCGAGTTAATGGTGTTAATAATTATCTTGGGAGACAGCGAGAGCCATCTGTGTGTCTGTGCCATTCGGCCCCTGCTGCTGTGGTCCGACAAAAGGCTCTGGATGAGAAAACAGAAGAGTTCAAACTGGTCTACAGGTTTCCGGGGATTAAGTACTGCAGGGTGCTGTCCAGACTGAAGCTGTTGCAGACTGCCACCACCGTGGTCATGCTGCCTCCCATCTGCTACCTCTATCTGCAAGACCAGGTTTCTCAGAATATCCTCTTGTACACAACTGGCCTTGCGTTCTTCGCTGGTGCAATGTTGTATGGTATGAGCTACTTTTTGAGACGAATTATTGGATTAATCTACTTAAATGAAACTGGCCGTACTGTCAAAGTGGCCCACTTGACGTTTTGGGGAAGACGGAATGACATTTACTGTCCCCTAGAGACAGTGATGCCTTTGGATGAAGCTGGAGATAGCAAGGGGGAGCTACTTCTCCAGTTCAAACGGTATAATAGTACAGATATTTTATATTTTACGATAAAGTTTGGCCAGATTGTAGACAGACAGAAGTTTACCCAAATATTTGGAGAATTTGAGTGATACAGCAGCTAATTTCCAGTGATCTTCCTTGTTGCGTGTTCATTGTGCTTATTCTTCTGTGAAGTTTAGTTAGTTTACCAAACTGACATACCTCTGTCATTTTCCTATGCAAAGCCTGCTGGTAAGTGCACTCAGTGTAGAAAGTAGAAATGGTAAAGAACAATCCACTGGATTAAATGTCTTTGCAGCTTGTTTAAGGTGTGAGCAGGGTCTCTTCTGCGTTGGATACAGTGATGTGCGTGGTGCGCTGTCACCAGCAGTTCCAAGTCTAAACTGTCCTATGTGGAACGTGCAGGAGGAGGCTGAATTACTGATGCTGACCCTGACTGTTTCAGCTGGCCTCTTAGATTGTTTTTAAATGGGAAAAACTCTTGGAAGTGAAATGCAGTAACTCTGCCAGAGCATCCTCACTTTAAATTCATTGTTCCTTTTAGCGAATTTTAGGTTGACTGGGAAGCCTCTTGAAATTAAAACTTGTCTCATCCATACATATGATAAATAATGCTGAATGTCAGAGATAGACACGCTCATGCATTAGTAAAATGGAGGTAACTGAAAGAGCGGTATGTAATGCTGTGTAAGGTGCGTGGGGTCTCTTGGCAAGGTCTTCCAGGGTGTGAACATAACTGGGCAAAACAAGGGTGCATGTTGCAAGACACATGGACGGTTCAGCTGTAAGGGTAAGTTAAAGGCTGGACAGCGTTTCGGGAGCCTCTCATAGAAATTGCTTTCTCATTGGAATAAAGGAAGAACATACCTAAACTATGTTGCTGTGAGTTACAGGGACAGTCTGTGATCCTTTGTTCAGTTTGGATCCTAATGATCATCTGAAAATTTGGAACTACTTGTCCTCCTTTGCATATATTCATGTTTGTGTTTGTTTTGTATGTATGAATGACATGTAATCAATGCTGTAACACTTGAGTTGCAAAAACTTCAGTAAACGTTACCAAAATTATCTTAGACTATGTGAATTAAGCAGTCTTCTGTGAAGATTACCATATAGCCTGGGAAACAAGTCATCTGTATCCCTTGACGTGTTTATTGATTTGGGCATATTTTACCATCAAAAGCTCTGTTGCCAAATACCCTTTCCACTCCCTACTCCCTCAGCCTGGGTTTACCTAAAATGAAAAGAAAAAAGGTAAGAGACCTAAAAGCTGTGTGGAATTAAGGCTGAAAATATGCGTACTTGTATTCTGTTGAGCTTGCAGGGTTGATCACCTCAGCACCTGCGTCCATGAAGGACAGTGGTCTTACTCTGCAGTGTTAGTATGATTCCTCCTTTTCCAAATCCTCCGTAGGAGTGAGGAGCAGGATTTAAACCCGAGAAAGAATCAAACCTCATCACTTGTAACATGTAAAACTTTTTGAATTGCCAGAAGCAAGTGAACTCCTTACACTGCTCTTCTGGCTGTTATTTCATTTGAAACAATGGCAAATAAAGTGACCCTCGCCAATAGAGAAATTTGGAGTGTTCTTTTCCCTGTTTCTTCCTCACGCGTACTGAAACCTCTGTCTCTTGGTGGATTGGCAGATGCAGGTTAAGTACAATTGCCGTTTAAGTGCAAGGGGTAACCCTGATTTACTATTTATTTGTGTTGAAAAAAAAAAATGGGGGCTCTATTGTTTTAAATTTTTGGCTGACACTGTGTGGTACAGCAGTATCAAAAGGAAAAGAGAAATGTTCCTTGGCTTAAACACCATGGCAGTAAAATACAGCGGACGGTATGCATACAACATGTTTTTTGGAGGTTATCTTCATAAGAATATATTTAATATGCACTAATGATGCAGTTATGTATATACTAGGTGTAAAATAAAAAGTCCCGGAGAAGTTCAATTACAAATATTTTATTTAAGAATATTGATTACACATGAGATGTCATTTTTTATGAATCTGTGTACAGTTACTAGTTACACCATGAAGTGTAGTTAAGTATTTGTTTAAACATTTATTTGGCACTGTCCACAGTATGCTGTAAACAATATTAACTTTATATGCTTCAGCTGCAGTGCTTTCTATGTATTCTCTAAGATGATTTCATCAACATGTTGTACACAATTATACAGTTACTGAGTGTCAGTAAAAATTATAAAAACACCTAGAGTATTCATAATAAAAGTGAGGATGTGGTAAGACTTCTAATTACTGGACCTTTGCTTCTGTAAAAGTACAAGACTTGCTAGAGACATGTACTAAAACTACTGCACTGATATGTTGAACAAACCAATTCCCAAAACGCTGTCAAATACAGTTCTCGGTTTGACTTTCCTCTTGCTGATAATACACTTACGAGGACAGCGATGACAATGAGGTTTTCTTGAACACTAATTCACCAGTCCTTCCCCCAGATTTCTACCACCTCTGTTTAAAAACCTGCTCAGGTTCTGACCAGCTGGTACCAGAATTCTGGTTTCTGCAGAGAGGTTTACAGAAATCCCATTATTTTTAAGCTACCAGAAGTGAGTGTACTTGAGTTTCCCAATACCAGCACTCAAAAAATGAATGAGAAAACCATGATTAACACTTCAAAGCCGGTAAGAAACCCTTCACATTTTGGTAGCTGTATTAAACCTGTAAGTCTTTTAACTGCTCTGGCTCTTATTATGTACTTAAAAATTGTGGTCAGTTCCTAATAGGGCAACTGTAAAGTCCACTGTGGTCCCTGGTTTTTGGTGCACAACAGAGTGTTAAACTTAGTAAGCAAAATCCAGATGCTTGCTAGCCAAGAAAAAGAATAAAAGGCACCAGACCTAGTTCAAGTCAGCCTCAAGCAAACAGCAAAGAGTACATAGTAAAGAGACGTCCAAAACAATTCTCTGAAGAGAAACAAATTAATGAACCGTTGACACTTTTTGATCCTGTGGCTTTCTAGAAGATCTCTGAAGTATCAATGACTTGGAATTAACTATTAGAACAAAACCAGAATTACTTTGCATTATAAATGTGCAATTAGGACTAGGCCTTCACTGTAGTGGCTCTAATGTCAGGTAATGGCTAAGGTCAAGTAATTCTGATGTAGTTTTACAAAATACCTCAAGTATTCATGTAGAACTTGTAATAGATAAATTAATGGCTATTGTGTGTTATGGGCAAATGGTAAAATAATCTCAAATCATTCTAGATTGCTGACAGGTGGAAATAATGTGCTTCACATGATTCTCTAAGCTTTGCCAAATTACATACTTCAGGGTATAGTTTTCTCTGTACGAGTCTGATTGTAAGAGAAGTCAAAAGTTTTAAAATCCAGGATGAGGAAAAAAAGCACAAGTACTTCAGTTCCACTTACAGCGCTGCTCCTGTGGCTGAGTGCATTAGTGCCTCTGGAGCAGCATGTGTAGGCTGGACATAGCGTAGCTGATGGCATCCTGATCCCGTTGGTGTGGCAGACGTCTGTATTCAGGGGAATAAAGCTGGACATTATTCTGTAAAATACTGTACTTGGCAGGGGTGGAAAGCAGAGCTTTCCTTGAAACACCTATTTTATTCCAGCTACCATTAGAGAATGGCACTTTCTGTATGGCAGGCATGTGGCTTTACGTATTAGGCCATATTTGTTGCTGCTTCTGGACGCAAGAGTAAATCTGCTGGGATTACCTGTGAAAATGCACTGTACCAGGTCATATTTAGACAATCATATAGTCAGGGCCATGAATGTAGAGAGGACTCTGCAATTAATACGACCCAAGCCAGATAGACGGAGGGCCATAGCTTCTACAAATGCAGTGTGGGACAGCTGCATCATGTACCTGCTGGTGACCAGTACCAATGCTCCACCTGGGTCGAGTTTGCATGGAGCAGCTTGCCTTGGGCAGGATTACAGACAGAACACAAACCTTAGTTTATGACTTTACACTTATCTTGTAAGCAGAGAAGACATGAATTAATGCAAACTAATTTCATAATCAGCTGTTCAGTGCAAGGGAACTGCTTTTTACTTGAAATTTGCTAAGATGTCACTGAAAATGTTCAGAAAGAGGTGCGCATGATGATCCTTGAAGATCAGCGTTGGACGAAAACGAATCGATCTGTCGCCACAGCCTCCCAGCACAACACCTAAAACGAGAATAGAATAGGTCCTCTAGTCATTTCCATCTTTGCCAAATATCCAGAAAATGCAGGTCTCCAAACGAGGTTCACCTCACTGTGGAGGGCCAACAGAAGCTCCCCAAAGCACTGCTAACCACACAATGATATAGCACGTAGTCAGTGGTGCAAAGGGGCCTTGAGCTTCACAACAACTCAGAAGAACGCTGTGGGTGGCTGTAGCTGTTCTGTAAAACACTTGGAATGTTGGGACTAATCCCAACATCAATGGAAAGACTCCATCCAGCGCAGAGCTCAAACAGCATCTGACACTTCACAGCTGCAGTACTCTACTGGTTAAGTACCCCAATGCCAGAATAAGACACAGTAGGTTTGTTTGCAATTTTGTTTTTAATTACAAGAAGTTAAAATATCTCGGCGCTGGCCAACTTCTTCCTGCAGTACTTTAAATGTACAGTATTTTTTTTACCCCAAAATCAGTTAGTTCTTTGAAATGTTTGTGGGCAACAAAAATCCATACCATTGAGCTGAGCTTACCTTGCCTCTTAAGCATAGCCTTGGTTTACTATGAAACAAACAGCTTGCCTTCTCTCCCTGCTGGCTTAGTTTCCAAGAACAAAAAACATCAATGTCTTCTACGCTCTAAAATTTTGGTTTCACAATAGTTTAGATGCATGATGCCTGCTTCTTTCAAGAGATAAGAGTAACAGCAAAAACTGACAGCAGCAAACCCAGGGCCCCCACACAGTTAAATTCAAAGAGAATGTTAGGCTTCGGATCACGAGGTTCCCCTCCTGATGCCTGGGCTTGTCGACAGCTGGGTAAGAGTTCTGTAGTAAAAGAGGGATGTAGTTGTAGATCTGTGCCCATTTGAGGCAACTCATTGTATGTCATTATTAGGTATTCCATAAAATTCATAGTTGTTCTCCCTGTGCTTCCTGAGTGACAGTTACATTAACTTTCTTCCAATTTTCCTGATGTGTTTCTACAAGTAAGCCATGCCTAGGTGCACCTAAGGTCACTGCAGAGGACTATGAAAGCGATGTCACAAAAACTCCTGCCCTAGATATATCTCTTCCAGTAACGTTAGACCTAGAGAGAAAGGTAAACGTACACACCATGCAACGGACTGGTCTGATGTCTCTGAAAAATACAAGTATTTCCAGAAAAGCCTAAATACAGCTTTGTTCATAATTTCACTGCTGTCCTCTGATATTGTAGTACACATACACCATATGAAAAAGGAGAATTTAAAGCATTACATATGCTCTGTTTGTCAGTTGAAGCTGATCCACACACAAACTTTCTTACCTTTGTTTCTGGCTATTGTAATTAACTTGTTTCTAGTTGCATCATTTGGAGTGTCAAACGAACAGAATGTTCCTCTTCCTCTCACTCTGCTGATAAGATGAGGGTAACGAGCCTGCAAAGAGAGGTGAGGAGGTATGCATGGCGGCTGCTGCAGCAGAGGGCACCTGGTGGCAAGCTCTGCTCTGCCAGGCATTCTGCCACATGGAAACCTTGCTGCCTCCCTCCTCCGTTCTGGTGGAGTGGAGCTATCACACAGTCTGGATTTCTCACATAACCTTGTGTCCCGTTCACCCCTTCCTGACAATGGTCTGAATAGCCGTTAGACTGCAGAGCCCAACAGCAGGCAGGTTCTCTCCTCACAAAGCAGGTAAACATCTGAGCAGGAAGCGAGAATGAATTTGCACCCCTGAGCTGGGTCAAGTAAAATCCTTCTTGGAGCCTCCTGAAGCGAGTGTAAAGCACCTCACATCTAAAACGCACTCCAGGAAAACCTGAGCATAAATAATCTGGAATGGGGCTAGAAACCAGCTCGTTCTTACGCTGCACTAAGACGCTTGCTAGTATTATCTGCTTCACTATCAGTTACAATCCTCATCTT